CAGGCCCATTAATTATCCACTGTACTGTATTTAGCTTTACTTGGGTAAATCACGTTTAATTGCCCAGCCTGCATTTACAGAGCATCTTTATTTAACATGCTCCCAACTCTGTTTATGTTTATGCCTTTTCCAATAGCTCATTAAATAGAGTTCTTAACCAGTACTATCAGAATCTCTCATGAGAACTGGCCAGGCCCACTCCAGGCTTCCATTTCACTCACTCATAGAGAATATTTTAAAGTTCTGAATATACTTCAATAAACTTCTAAATATACTTCCCCCTCGCTCACATGTTTCTCCTGCCTCTGAGGAGTGCAAAAGACTTCCTTCCCCAATATTTCCAGACTGCGATTCAATCTGTCCCACTGCTAAAAGGTAATTGTTTGAAAATACTATCTGAATGTGCCCTGAGACTCCACTCACCAACAGAATCCAGTTTGGGTTTCTCAGGAAAAGCCCCCAAGGCCCTGGGTAGCTTGGTCCCAAACTCATAACTCATCTGCTGACATTCTTTCCCTCACACCTTCCATTTCAGCCCTTCATAGAACACAGCTTAAAAAGTCTGTCCTGAGAAGACAAGTAGTGATTTTACAGCATCATACTATGTTGATGGACAGTGACTATGAACGGGTATGTGGGGGGGACTTGGTGAAGGGGGGAGCCTAGTAAACATAATGTCCTTCATGTAATTGTAGATTAATGATACCAAAATGAAATTAAAAAAAAAAAGAAACACAGGTGAATTTTAGCAGCAATACCATTTTCGCCTGTTAGGTTGGCAAAAATCCATGTTTTGTAACTCAGGCCGTTGACAAGGCTGAGGTGAAATGGGCACTCACATGCATTCCTGATGGAAGAACAGAATGGCTCCTCCTGACTCTTCCTTGGACCTGCCATGCTTGTTCCTACCTCAGGGACTTTGCACTTGCTGCTGCCTCTGCCTAGAATACTGCCCATATAACTATGGGACTTGTTCCTTCTAGCCAATCTAGGATCCAGCTCCCTGTTTGCCTCTCAGGGACACCTCCCTAACTGCCCCCTCACCATCCTGACATCACACTCACATCACTCATTTTCCTTAAAGTGCTCACTGTTATCAGAAATGATTTCTCTATTTTTCTCTCTTCTGCTAGATCAGGGATCAACAAATGTTTTTTGAAAAGGGCCAGATAATAAACAGCTTAGGCTTTGTGGGCCATATGGCCTCTGTTACAACTTTTTAGTTCCACTGTCATAGCACTAACAAACCATAAGTGATATGTAAATGAACAAGCGTGACTGTGTTCCAATAAAATTTTATTTGAAGACACTGAATTCTGAATTTCATTCAATTTTCAAGTGTCGCAAATTATTCTTTTGATTTTTTCCATCGTTTAAAAACATGTAAACCAATCTTGGCTCTGGGCCATACAAAAATAAGCAGTGGGCTGAATTTGACCTGCAGGCCAGTTTGCCCACTCTTGTGCTAGAACATCACCTCCAGGGATTATCATCTGCTTGATTCACTGCTATATCCCCAACACCTAGAACAGCACCTGGCACCCAGTGTGCTCTCTATAGATGTTCCTTGACTGAGCAAGTAAATGAAGTAGGGAGTTGGGTAACAAGTTACTAAAGGAGTGGAAAAGGGAGTAAATATATGAGATCTGGCTTGGTCCTACTCTCAAGGCCTCAGTTTACCCCTGTCTGAACCTCTGCAGGCTTCCCCAAGAAATCTTAGAAAGAGATCAGAAGGCCAAGGCTAGAGTTGCAATTCAGCATCTTTATTCTTCCCCTTTAGCCTGAGGGTGATCCTGACAAACAGCTTTCACTAGGAGACAGAAAAGACTGGGCTGGGCAGAGACTCCCCAAGGACCCTGCCTCCTCCTGCTCTTCTTTCTCTTTCTCCTCCTCCTCCTTCTCCTCTTCTCCTCCCATGGGATTGGGGTTAGGGCCATGATCTAAGCTCAGCATCCCTAGGGAGGAGGGAAGCAGACCCTGCAGCCCCCTACCTCTGACAGCCACGTTAATGGGAACCAGCCACCTCCACACTCCAGGCAGGAGGGGCCCAGGAGAGCAGCCCCATCTTCCTCCACACACACAGGTGCATGTGCATGGGGCCCAGGTGGAGCAGTGCATGGTCAGTGTCCAGACACATGGCTTTGGCCTGTGGCCCAGTTGGCAAACATAAAGCCTAGACTGATGGCCATGAAGTGGACCCCCAGGACATCAAAACACAGAGCCTGTGGATGAAAGGGAGACATGTGGCTAGTTGAGTCTCCACACTGGAGCTCCTCTTGAAAATGTTCCTCAGGCCTTCCACCCTCTCCAGAGAGTGCCCCATTCATTCCTGACCCTCCTTTGTGCTCCCTCTTCTTCCTTAAAACCAGCCCCTTCCTGTGAATCCTCCTTTCATCTTCCTAGAACCCTTCAGGTGGTACTTCACTCTATCCTCCTTGAAAGTGTTCCCGATCCTCTAGTAACAGAGTTCCTTCCATCTTCCATAGCTCCCTGTATGCTAGCTCCTTGCGTGCTCCCTCTCCCTCTGTCTTCCCAAACCCTGCTGGTGCTCTGTCTACTCAGCCCCTTCCTAAGATAATCTCCTTCATTCTTCTAGACCATTTTTCCCCACCCTGCATGCTCTCTCTTCCCCCAGCCCCCTCCTGGAAATGTTCCTTCTATCTCCAGCCATTCTGGAATGCTCCCTTCTCAGAATACTCCCTCTTTACCCAGCCCTCCCCTGGAATGCTCACCTGGATCTTGGGCCAGGAATAGAGGGGCTCCACCCCAGGTGGTACAATGTGAAGGTAGAAGATGCTAGAAAGGATGAAGATGAGGCTGGGGGCTGAGGTGGACCCTGGAGGACAAGCAGGAGAGAGAGAGGAATCAACATAAGTTTGGGGTATAAGGCCAAAATTAGGTGGAGTCTGGACTGGGGTTGGGGGTACTGACCAATAACCCCAAAGATATCCCAAATGGTTGGCATGCACATGATGAGGACATTGACCAAGACAAGCAGGATGAGGGCAATGGCCACATGCCTAGGCCAGCTGAAGGCCTTGCTTAGGAACAGCAGCTGCTGCAGGGCCTGGTGGATCTGCGGCCAGAGTAGAGTGGGACACAGGTCAGGGTCCAAGTGCTACCTCCCCTCTCCATGTGGTCATCTATCTTTAACTCCACCCTTGGCTGAGCAGCCACCGATGCCTCCACCCTGTCTGAGATCCCTGATTTCCCCTCCATCTATCACTTCAACTTGTTTGACCATCCATCTGTGCCTCTATCTTCTGAACAAGCATCCTGCCTTCCTTCTGACAATCCATGCCTGTTCCTTCTGATCACCCACCAATCTATGCTTCCACCCACTGTCTGAAATCTTTGCCTCCTCCTCTTTCTGACTATTGCTGCCTCTCTCTGACCACCCATTTGTCCTTCCACCCTGAGATCCTTGCCTCTCTGGCCACCTCTATGCTGCTCCTGTCTAGTTATCCCACTTCCCCATCTGAGGTCCTTCCTATACCTCATTACTTTTGCCTCCACCTTTTTTTTGTCCATCCCTGTTTCTTCATTCTATCTACCTATACCTCTACCCTCTGTCTAACCAGTCCTGCTTCCCTCTTCTGTCCAGCCAGACACCCACGCCTCTTCCCTCTAACTGACTACCTCTGTCCCCCTGACTCTCTGTCCTGCCATCTATGCCTCTCTTCTATCTGACCATCTAATTTTGCCTCCTCTTTCCATCTGACAACTTCCTGCCTGTCCATCCCTGCCTCCTCCATCCATCCATCTACTCCCATCTCCACCCTCTATCCAAACATCCATGCCGATGCCCTCAACCCATCCATCCACATCCCTCTGCTCCATGGGCCCATCCTTGCCCCCACACACAGGGAATAGCACGACTGGCACAGTGAGAGTCACCACAAGCAGCATGGCCAGGTACACACAGAGGGTGAGCAGGTCCTGCTGGCTGTACATGTGCAGTATCTCCACCTCCATACTGCCTGGGCCATAGGACATGGGACATGAGATGCAGCATGTGGCAGTGTACCAGGACCAGTGCCCCAGAAACACACACACACATGGTGATGAGATCTACAGGTGTGATGCACACCTTCCCACTGAAAACTGATGGGTCTGAGAGCGAGCATAGAGGGAAAGTACTTGCCCAGTCCCCACCCCAGCTCCCACCAACCCTGGCCTCAGCCCCACTCACTGCAGAAGGTGAGGTAGCCAAAGGTCACTGTAAGCCCATACATGCAGAACATGGCCCCAATGGACACACTGGCCACAGCCTGCATTCTGCGCTTGGAGGGCCTGAGTTAGAGAAGTCATAGAACTGTCAGGCCCAGACCCTTGAGCTTGATCCAGGCTCCTAAAAACCAGTCCCCACCCTCCAGAGTCCCCTTATTCCAGAACTGACAGTTAGCTGGTACATGCTGGGATGCCCATCTCTGCCTACCCTGTGTGACCAGCTGAGCCTCCCTTCTCTGTCCATCCATATCTCACCCCATATAACAATCTTAGCCCATCTCCTGTCTAACTGTCTCTGCCTCTCCCCTCCATTTGACTCACTGCCTCTCCTTTCCATCTGACCATCAATGCTGTCTGATCATCCACACATGCCCAATGATATCATCCCTGCCTGCTTTTGTTCATCCAAGCCCCCCTCCATCCAACCATCTTTGCCTCCCCACTCTGTCTAGTCACACTTGTACTGGATGTTAAAAGAGTAAAATACTTAAGCCCCAATCAGTAAACAGTCACTTTCTTGTGTCCCAAGGCCTCCTGGCCACCTCAAACCCCTCCCTTGGCCTGGTCTAATTATAATCATGCTACAGGTTCCAGGACTGCTTTAGGGATTATTGGATAGTATAACTATGACTACCGCCCCATGTGCTGGCCCACCACACATGCCCACTTGCCTGCCCACTCACCAACAGAGCTCTGTATAGATGGGCAGTACCTCAGGGTGGTAGACAAAGGCAAAAGCCATAATGGGCACTGTGTAGAAAAACTGGAGGAATGGCCCAAATTCACAGGATTAGAACCGACAGGGTTCCATCCTCTCCTTCTCATCCACCCCCTAGGCCCCACCACTGTCCTCCACATCAGACACATGCAAGCCCCCAATATCTGATACCTGGCTCCACTCTGATCAGTGTACCACGAGACAGGACCAGAGGGCCTGAGTGTGATGCAAGCCCTGTACACATGCCTGCATACCCACCTGTGAGTAAACTGTGAACATCTGGGCCTCACAGTTTCTGTTGAACCCCTGGCTGGGAAGGCCTGGGGGGCTCTTGCTCTCTACTACTGTCTCATTATGGCCCACCACACAGCCAAGCTGGAACTTCTTATAGATGGCCTAGGGGAGGAGAGGTGGTAGAGAAATGAGGTCATGGAGAGACTATATCCCAATGTGCCAAACTCTCTCCCCACTTTTTCATGTCCCCTATCAAAGACTCACCAAAATGAGGAAAAACAGTATGCATGTCAGAGAAAGACCACTGGTATACCCCAGGTAGCCTGCAAGGGATAATACATAAAATGTCAGAAATCAAGGGACCCCCCCACCCCTACAGCAAATATCAAATCCTCAGCCTGGCCTTCAAGGCTCCCTCACCCCAATTATGCCACACCTTTGTACAAGTTTTTACTTCTACCTGGACCAGCCTCCCCTCCATAGAAAACTCCTATTCATCTATTAAAACTCACATTAAACAAGCTCTCCCCTGGCGTTCCGCAGACCTTGAAAATGGGGAGTCTCTCAATCTAGCTCCCCTTCTTTAACTCCACTATCCAATGACCAGTGCAGGAAGCCTCTTACCCAAGGGCCTCATGAGGGCCAGTGGCAGGATGATTACAACACTGACAATGACGATGAGGAGGTTTCCCTTCAAGAACCAGCCCCTAGGGAGACAGACAACCACAGTGACAAGCTGTCTATCAAAGAAAGTACTCAGGCAGACACTCCCAGAAGACAGCCGGACAGATTTCTGCCCATAGTCAGGGAGATGAGCTGACACCTCAGCTATGAGAAGTTATTCAGGTGGTTACAGTGATAAATGGCACAATGAGATTGACAGAAATAGCCATACTGATTATCTGACTCCCAGTCAGACACTGTCAGAGGTATACAGCTGAGAACACATGGACAGCTGAAAACTGTGCCATCAGACTCACAACTAGACATATAACCAGACAAGCAAACACTACCCAAAATCAGTCAGGTACACTTAGGTCCAACACAAGGTGCCATATACAGAGTGAGTCATGACTCTGGTGTATCTGACAGGTAGAACAACAGTCTGATGATTTGAAAGACAGGCAATGATGCAGAGTCAGACAAAAAGTCAGAAACACACATGTGTGGTTGTTTGAACAATTCAAGGTTTGTTGAACACCTGAAAGTAGCTGGGCCAATTTGCCCACATAGCCAAAGACTAAAATAGTGGCAGACTCAGCCATCCGGCCACACTGTTAAAACCAAGCTCAAAGGGTGGGATCTGCACAGGTATTGGAGCACCCAGGTAAGACAGTCAGTTAATACAGAATCAGCTGAACAAACTGGTCATTTGTTCCAAAAAATTAGTATTGAGTGCCTACCATGTTCCAAGCATTCAGAAACTCTCTTTATCATACACACAGGTACACAAAAATAAACCAACAAAGCACCATTGGCCATATATACAGTGGGAGCTTATCATAATAATTAGACACACCTAGTCACATAGACTATCAGCTACCTGAATGGTTTCAGAATCAAACCAAAAATCTAACAGAATACACAGTCAGCCATCATATACAAACAACTGAACACATTCAGCGAGCAGATGCATCCAGAATCAAACATACAGCCAGGCAGATGCATTCTTAGAACAGTCAAACCATAATACAGAGGACATATACAGTTATAGTTGAGGATCACAAACACAGAGCCAGAGAGAATTTGCCAGAATGGTTGCCAAACTAAACACAGATGGAATTTACTGGCACATACAATTGAAGCAAGACATGTATATATATATACACACATAAACATAGACCATTGGAGTCAATAACCATACACTCACAGCTAGATAGATTCAGCCAGCCTGAAGTACCCAGAATCAAAAAAAATCCACTGGACAGGGAAAACCAGAGTAAGCAGATGTCAAACATACATGGTTGGAATCACAGTATACAGGACAACACAGCTGTAGTCAGCTATCATACAGGCAGAGAACCTGCCAGTACAACAAACTGAGATCCTCAGACAGAGTCTACTGGATATGTACAGTCACATGGTCAGCTTCAGAGTACACTGGACATACAGAGTCAGCTGCCAGATGGAATCATCCAGAATAACAATCACAAAAATCAATACAGGGTCTACTGGACTCCTATAGTCAGAGCAAGTCTTACATATATTACATTGGCATCACAATACCTAGGAATCACAGCCTGACCAAAATGGCCTGCCCAGCAGTCTCAAAATAGAACACCTGGCAGTCAGCTGGACACAGAGTTGAAGATAGCAGCCAGACCACACAGGCAGAGTCAGTAGCCTGCAGGCCAGAGCCAAGGGGTGTTGTTCACTCACCTCTCAGGATCCATGTCCAGGAAGGTACCGATAACCAGGGGGAGTTCGGATTTGATGATGAACAGGTAACTAGACATGGCTGATGCAGGTTGGGGGAGGTATAAGCAGAAGAATTTCCCTAATCCCCCCACCCCATCTTCCCCAGCCCAGCATGGGGAAGCCCACTTCACCCCACCCTCTTACCCCAAGCTGATCCCCTACCTCCCAGAGTCCTCACCCCCAACATTGTGCAGACAGATCTCCGCAGCCACTACTACCTTCCCAGCAGGCCCCAGCACCCTCTGTCCCAGCTGCTGATAGGCTCAGATGCCTGGGGTGGGGAGGGCAGGAAGGAATGGGTTGTGGATCCAGGGGACCAGGCCAGGGGTAAGGAGTAATGGGGAAGAGGGTCTGGGAGCTAGGAATTTGGGGCTTGGGGTAATTGGGTCTGATTGCCAAGGTCTGGAGGGGAGAGTTAAGCAATCAGGGCGGGCTTGGGGGTGAAATATGGGAGGTGGGATCTGTGGCCAGGGACTGGTGCCCAGGGAGAAGGGTGGGGGGACTGGATGTGGGTATTGGGGGTGTGGGCAGCAGGATATACACAAAGACCATGCTGGGAGTGCAGTCCGAGATCTGGGATGGTGGGAGCTTGGCAGCTAGGGTCTGAGGATCAGGGGACATGGTGTGGGCTTCCCTGGTGAGGTGGAGACTGGGGGTTGAGGGGTGGAAATTAGAGGTGGACTGTAGTAGTTTGGGGGTGAGTCTGAGCAATGGGGCTTGATAGTCAGACTGAGGGGTGAAGGCTTGGAATTGTGAATTAGGGTACTAAGAGCCCAGACAAGGTTTGAGGGCTCCAGTCTGGGGTCTGGAGTCCAGGGACTTGAACATGGGATCTGGGGTCCTGGGTGCAGGATCTAGGGTCAGAGTGGTAGGTCTAGAGTCTGGGGTTTGGGCTGAGGTCTGCAGTGTCAGGTCAGGGAGGTGGGCCAGGGGGTCTGGGGTCCATGATCTGAGTTAAGCTCTGGGTCTCACCTACAACACCAGCACAGGTCAGCAGGATATGGATGGAATATGAAGACAGAAGTGCAATGCACATCAGCAGGGCCCTGTGGCAGATGGCACAGCTCAGACTTGGCCTCCAGGCTTCCTGCCTGCCCACAACACCCCACCCCCTATCCCCCAGCCATCTAGGACTCACAAGAAGAGGACCCCTGTGTGGGCCATGGCATAAGCCAGCCCCAGGATGCCACTGCCCATGATGGCATTGCTGAGGTTGAACACTGACATTCCGAACGATGTCTTCCCCTCGAACTGCAGGGTAAGGGGCAATACCCGGGCACACATGGGGAAAGAAAGCAGGTAAAGAGACCAGTGTTGGGGCCTGGGAAAGACTCAGGAAGAAATTACTGGAGTGGGGAGAATCCCAGGAAGGGCCATCAGAGGAAGGAAAGAGAGTTGAAGATGGGAAGAAGCTGGGAAAGCAAGAGCTAAGAAAGGGGAAACCAGGAGAAACTTTGGCGGGGAGCAATTGAAAGTGGAGAGGAACAGGGGAGGGTAGAGTAGCTTACCAGGGGCAAAACAGCTCGGAAGGGGAGTAGTTAGGGATGGAGAACAGCTGGGGCAGGAAATAGCTAGGGGCAGGGGAAACACCAGGTCGGGGGGAGTAGAGGGAAGAGAGAGCAGTAGGGGAAGAGATGAACTGGGCAAGGTGCAACTGGGACAGATCCTGTGGGGTCACTCACATCCATAAACTAAGCTGGCTTCCTTCCAGGATAGGACTGTGGCTGGGCAGGAAGCCCTCGCATTCTTGCCTGTAGCTGGAGAGGACAGGTAAAGGGGCTGATGAGAGGGTAATCCTGACTCCTGACCCCATCCCCTGGGACCCCTAACTAACCCCACAGCACTGGCAGGGATGGCTCCATTCATCTTTGGATCCTGCAGTTCCATCTTGTGGGCAGAGAAGTGGGGTTTGGGGGTGTCAGAGATGGAACAGGAGGGCTACAAAGTGGAGAGAGCAAGATGAAGGGGATAGGGGGTCAAACAGAGACAGAGATGAGGTGAGGGGAACAGGGACAGAGGGATGAGGAGACAGGAGCTAAATGAAGAGAACTGGAGACAGGGTGAGAGGCCCACAGAGAAAGAAATGGGAGAGGGTCATGGGGGAGAAATGCCAACAGTTACTCAAAGAGGCACAGAGAAAAAAAGAGGGCAGCAAGAGACAGAGGGGCAGAGAGACAGAAACAGAGAGACCACCCCCACAGCAGATGAGATTGCCATTTGGAGCTGGAGTAACCTCTCCTTCCAGACCCCAGACTCTCTCTGTCTCTCATGCTGTTTCTTTCCTTGCCCATCCCCCATGCAACCCCCCTTCCCTCCACCCTCACCGGTGGCCAGGCCTCTTATGGCCCGGCTGCCCCACCCCTCCTAACGCCCCCTACCCAGCCTGGGCCAGAGCCAGAGCCCAGAGCTGATGCAACCTACTGAAGGGGCTAGGGTGGGGGCCCAACTTGGAGACTCCCCACCCGGATGCGGCAAACTGCTCTCTGCCACAACTCTGAATAACCTCAGTAGGGGCCAAAGAGAATTCCCCAAACTGAGCCTCCTTCCAGGGATAGAAGTGACCCAGGCACCCCCATTTAACCCCCTTCTGGGGACTACAGATGTATTTTCTAGGACCCCTGTCAAGTCTTAAACATTTGTCTTCTGGCAGAAGTCAACTTTAGGAACATTTCCAAACTTGAGATCTTTCCTGGGCTTGGGGTGTCGCAGGAACCTTCTCTGAGCCCTAATTTCCCCTCTAGGGGATGAGCTCTGAGGCCTTCATCAAAAGCCCCCTCCCAAGGCCCCATGTGTTTCCTTGGGTGGGGGTGTCTCTGCAATCTCCATGCAAGCCTGGAGCCCATGTCTTCTGGAGTGTTACTGAAGAAGCCCCCAGCCCTGAGCTCACCTCGTGGAAATTCGGTATCTCAGAAACCCCCAGTCAAGGTCCCGTCAGTGCCAAAACTGCCTGCAGGAAACCCCCTCCTCAAATCCTGAATCCCCTTCCTGAGATGGGAAGGGCTCTCAAGGAGCCTCATTCTCATTCTTGAGTCCCTCTAGACACTCCCACCCACTCTGGAATCCACTTCCTGAGTGCATAGTACCCAATGTACTCCCCCTCCCATTCAATTCCCCATTAACATTAAAATGTCTCCAGAGAACCTGTATGCCCCCTCCCAGGACCCCAAACTCCTGCCTTGGGGTTTCCAAAGCCCCCCTCACACGGCCAGCACCTCGTCCTCACCTCCCTGCTCCTCTCAGCTTCTAAGGAGGAAGCAACTCACTGGGGCTCTGGGACCCCACGGCCGCAGCAGCTGGACCTGCCCCCGCCCCGCCCTGTAGCCAATCAGCTCCCCGCGCTTGCAAGGTGGCTAATCAGCGCGGCCGGCGCCTCATCTGGCCAGCAGATTTTTTTTTTCTGGGAAAAAGTTTAATTTTAATTCAGTTTCCCTCCATCTGGCTCTGGGCGGGGAAGCGGAGTCGGGGAGGCTGCCGACCCCCTCATCTGGGCCCACGTGGAGGGAGACAGAGTCTTGGGGTGAGGGGGAGGTGGACAGAAAGATTGAGGGAGTAGATTCACACCTAAAGAGAGAGACAAGGCAGACAGAGAGAACTGACTCAGGGGTCAGACACTGCAGGATGAAATAGAGGGAGGTAAAAGATGCAGAGAGGAGGGACAGGAAGAGAAACAATCTGAAATAGAGACTGGCAGGCAAGCAGAAACACAAAGAAAACAGAACAGAAAGCCCAGTGGTGTACAGGGAAGTGGTAGACAAGCAGAGAGGCAGTCTGCCTAACAAGGAGAAAGAGACATACAGACTCTGAAACAGGGGTCGGCCCATGCAGGCACCTGGAAGAAAGCGACAGGCTGGCAGACTCAGTAATAAACAGGAGACATAACCGGCAGATAGACAGGTGGACACAGCTAGACACATCCCCAAAGAGAGGTTAAGAACAGACACAGCCCAGAGAGAGACAAGGGGACAGAGGGAATGATTGAGGCAGAGAGACACCTGGAGGGACAGGTCACAACAGGCAGAAAAAGTCAGATTCAGGCAGAGAGGCAAAGTGGGTGGATGGATAGACCTGGGGACAGCTGTGGGACAGGTGCAGGTATAGACCAGCCAGGCTACTGTAAGCTGACCTCAGACAGACAGCCTAGCCTAGCCCAGAGAGGACCCTAGGTCTTGGGGGCTCCCCAGAGGCAGGGAGGGTGGGGAGGGAAGTATGGACTCACTGTCTACAAACTAGGCACACCCTGAAGACCTGGACCCCAGCCAGGGCATTGGGTGGGGCCTGTCCACACCCTAACTAAGGAGCCCTACTGTCTGTCTGTCTGCCTGTCTTATATGTGGGTCTGTCTGTTCACTCCCATCCAAGCATGTGACAGGTATGTCTGTCCCAGGCAAGGCATATGTCTCTTTCAAGGGAGTCATGAAGGGTGGACCTAGGGTCTGGGCCCAACTCAGCTGGGCAAGAGACCTCTGGGCCCCTTCACCTGCCTGCCCACCCCTGATAGGGAGTACAGAATTCCCAGAAAAGCCAGGGGCTGACTGGGGCTTCAAAGCTAGCCTAGATGCTCCCACCCCACCCACAGTTGGAGGAGGGTGAAGGATGGGGCGTTTACTTCCCCACAGTGGGAGGGAGACTCCTGCGTACTCGGGGATCACAGCCCCATCCAGACGCTCAGAGATGGAGGCAGACTCACCATCATCCACAGAGGTACAAACAAACTTGCACACAGACTCACAGCCTAGCACAGAGAGTACTGGCTGACAGATATGAACACACACAGACTGCTCATGGAGAGCCCAGGCCATGGTACAGCTGAGACAGGGACCATGGATGTAGTCAGAGTAGGGTGAGAGCCTCCAGAGGGGGCAGGGCGGGATATTTACTGTCAGAGCAATGTAACTACATGCAAGGAAACACCCCCTGCTAAAACTCTATATTAAACATCGAGTTCTAGAATCATTCTTCAGTGAGATCAGTTAATATTCCCCAGATAAAGAAGGGTAGCACATGTTTTATTATACTAATCATTTGTAACCATGTGTAAGATTCACTTTAGCATACTAAAAGGCCCAGGCCTATGTGCTGTCTTTCCTCCTTCAGATCTGACGAAGTAATTCTGCAAACTGAGCAACTAACGTAGCATGCAGACCCAGCTATCAACAGCATAGTTAAAGGCAGGAAGAATTCCATCTTAAAGATAAGATTGCATTTTGACACCCAGGAAGTTCAAGAGGCAAGATTCTTTAGCAAGTAGACAATACCTCAGCCCACCTTGGGAGCTGGGCAGGCAGCCTTTTGATATGCTCCCAGACCAAGGCACTGGTGTCCCAGAGAGAAATCAAGGCAGAAAATTCCTTACAGTTAAGTTAATTTTTAATATTCAGGGACCACTTAACAAGTTCCCACCCGTAAGTTTTTTCATGTTCTCGAAAAATCCTCAACTGCCTATAAAACCCCCTAGACAATGCACCACTACAGACTCTCTTGTCCCCTCCTGGCATAAGCCAGGAGCTCTGAGCTTTCACTTTATCTCTAAATAAAAGCCTGTACCTTGCTCTCCTACCTTGACTGTTTGTGAAGCTCATTCTTTGGCTCCGCAAACAAGAACCCCGGCATCACAGCCACACACTCACAGCTGTACAGTGACTTAGTTTTACATGTATCACCAACTCACAGCCTCAGAGCTGCACCCAGAAAGCATAGACTGACTGGGAATAGACTTACACCAATTTGCAGCCACCACAGATGCACAGACATCATGGCCCACAAACTCAACAGCCATACCCCAAAGAACCAACAGGCAAGTCACAACAGACTCACAGCCACTCACCAAGCGCACAGACAAATATGATTTCATACATCCGCCAACAACATACACGCCCAGTGTCTCCCCGACACACAGTTCCAGCTTCAGACAGCCCTGGAGGCCAATGTCCAAATTCAGGCTCTATAATGATCCTTTTGTGCACGTGAACTTGTGTATGAACTTGTGACTGCACGTAACCACATACAGCTCTGGTCACAAATGGAGCCTGGCACTCACAGGCAGGCACAGTTGTATAGACAGAGAAGGTGCAAGATATGCACACAACTGCATTCAAGCAGCTGCTACACACAACCATGGACACACACAGCCATTCACAAATCTCAGAAGCTGAGAGGAGACGCGTAGGGAGTGCATAAACAGTACATGGGCAGGAAAAGCAGGGAGTACACATACTATCATTACAAAGAGGAAATCCAGAAAACACACCTAAAGCTGCATGAAGAGGAAATGAGGGAACCAGCTAGAACACACACAGCAGCCCCCAAAGAAACACCCATAGGGCACACACACCTGTAGCCACTCACCAAGGAGAGACAAAGACGGGGCGGAATACACATACATAGGAGACTCACAGAGACAAAGAAACACATTCATCATCCATAAGCATTACAAAGGAGGCAAATAAATATCCAAGGAACATACACATAGCCCCATACAGATGAATCGCACATGCAGACAGCACCAACACACACAGTTGCCAGAAAGGAAACACACAAGTCGGACAAGCAGCCATAGGCACAAGATACAGCCAGGCAAGTAACATAGGAAGACATATGTGGGGCTGACATGTGTTTGTGGCTGAGAATACGTACAGACAGATGAGATACACTCAAGGTATTCATACGCACGCATACATGCGCGCACACAATCCCCTGTCCATCATGGTCTACTCTGATGTCTTTCTCCTCTGATACTCCTCCCCACAGAGCTATTACACATATGCGCTACAGGCCCACCAGGGAAAAAGACACCTATCAGCAGAGGCGTTGGCCCAGGTGGCTAAGGTTAGGGGGTGGGAGAGAAGTAGGCAGGTGTCTAGATTCCAAGAAAAGTCTGAATTGCCCTGTCCAAAGAACTGGTGTACCTTAGACAAAACACAGATACTCCCATCACCCGCCAGCAGCAGCTTCCTGCTCTGATCATTCCCCTCACCTGCCAGGGCCTTCCCCAGCCCTCCAACATGGCACAGAGCATGGTTACCAGGCACACAGCAGGTGCTCAATAAATGCCCCTTATCAAGTGTCATATTATCATCGGTGTTACTCTTATTTCTGCCAAGTGAACTCTTCTAGGGTTGGGCCAAAAGTTCACTCAGCTCCATAGCCCATAACTCAACTAAGTTTCAGGGCACTGCAAATAGCAGGTGTGCAACATATGCTTGGAGGAGGAAAAACAAAGGGAAAGTGAAATCTAACTGTGGAGGGCAGCCTGCTTTACAAGGAACAGATGTCTTTAAGCTTGACCAAGGCCTTGAGGCTGTGCCAGAGATAAGAGCGCTGTTAGTTCATCAAAGTAGAGCCCTTTGTCAGGGTCATTTAAGGCTGTGTTGGTTCAGTAAAGCAGACCCTTGTGAGACATTTGGGATTTCTATTGAGTCTATTAAAAGTCAGTCTGGATTCTTGTCAGTTCTTCTAAGCAGACCCCTGCTTTTCATTAAAACAGGTCACTTCTCAGCAGCCTTCAGGGAAGGGAGCCACAGAGCAAAGCAGTTAACAGCATGAATTTTCCCAGCTCTGCCACTTACTAACTGCATGGCCAGGAACAAGTTCAAAACCTCACCGTCTCAGCTCCCGCCCTGGGCATCATAATACCTAACTCAGAAGGCCAGTGGGAAAACTGAATTAAGACAGGTAGAGCACTAAGAACCCTGCTTGACACACAGTAATTGCTTGATAAAATATTTGTGAAAGGAATTAATGACTTCTCTCTGCTTATGAAGGCAGGCGCCACTGGGCTGCATTTAGAATTCTAAACTCTCGGTTCTTGCGGGCTCCCCACTAAGTCTTCCGTCCCTCAAAGCAGCCCCTGGGTAGCAAGGCTTTTTGAGTCAGTGTTTAGTTCCCTGTGCATGGACCACCCCTGTCTTTCCTTCACACAGTAAGATGCCCTCCGGTACTGAGCTGGCCTGGTAGCTCGCCCTTCCTTGACCTCTTCAGGTGGTCGAGGGGAGGACATCTTTACACTCAGTGGGGTGCTGGGTGGGAGTTGCAGGCCGACACACTAATTCGGGAAGAGCCTGGGGAGTTCAGAGCCTGACCCCCCCCCCCCCCCAATATCCTGGCCCTGCTGGAGGAAGCAAGTTTGCAAAAAAATAAACATCCTCTTTGTGAGAAGCAAGAAAACAGGACATGGGAAGCGTCCCACAGGGTGAACATGGGCCCCCAATGCCTGGCACCCCCTCCTCTCAGTGGCGTGAACCCTTGCTTTCTCACATGAGCTCAAACTCTGCAGGGGTACCATGTTCCCACTGCCCCCACAACACCCTTGAACTCTGCGGACAAGCTCTGGCTCACCCCCTGGCACTCAGGGACGCCTCCAGAAGGTGCTCTCTCCATGTCTCTGCACGTCTGTCTCCGCCTCCCAGGGCCCCACATAATTGCAGAATGTAACACTGAGGAAAGAATGGAGGAACAAGCAACAAAAGGGTGGATTCAACAAACATCTGTTGAACACCAACTGTGTGCCAGGCCCTGTTCTAAGCGCCTGGAGACAACAGTGAACAAAACAGAAGAGAAATGCCTGCCTAGCGAAGCCCACATTTCTAAGGAATGATGCATCAGCCACTCAGATCTTTGAATACTCACCAAGCTTGTTCCCACTTCAGGGACTTTGTACTTGGTGTTACCTGTGCCTGGAATGCTCTCCCTCCAAATACTCCTGGGGTATGCTCCCCTTCAGGTCTGCACTCAAATGTTACCTCCTCAGAGAAGCCTTCCCTGACCATGCTGCCTAAAACAGCAACTCAACCCCGCTGTTACTCTGCATCCCTTTCACCTTACTTTATTATTCTTTGTGACTTTTATCACCACCTGACACAACATTATATATTTATATACTTAATGGTATATTTCTATTTAGTACAGTTGCTTTAGTAAGTGAATGTATATGGATACTTGCATATTTATATATGACAACATATACTTTATATATGTATTAATACACTACCCAAAATGGATAAATATATAGTATTATATATTCCCTGTATTGACATGTAATAGCATATTTATATTATTATGTTTACATAATATGTAACATATACTAGTAGATATTATATATCACTGCATTTCTATATAATTACATACAAATTAAATAGCATGTATGTTTATATGCCTAATATAATAATATATAACCTCCCTTGTCTCCATTTCCTCATCTGTAAACTGGGGATCAGTATAATAACTACTTACATGGTTGTTGTAAGGATTTAAATGGGTTCAAGGATTCAGCAGTGCACTGGAACCTACTTGTGCAGATTTACAGACTGTCCAATTTTCAGGAATTTTGAGACTTGACTGTTAAACACAGCTATTAAAAATGAAATGATATAAACTTAGAATTAAATAAATTAGAGTTTTAAAAGGTGATAAATACTCAAAACTCATCTCTTCCTAATTGTTTTGCTACATTTCACTATTCTCTGTGCTCTTGAGGTCATTTACCCCTATTTGAACTGTATGGTAGAGGTAGTACATAACGGTGCACTACTTCATTTCTTCCAAACTCTGTGTTCCCTGACTACACTGTGGGAACTTGAAATCTGACAAGATGATAGTATGTAAACCATGCAAACTGGCAATGTTAGAAATCAGGGCTTCCTCCCTTTCTCCCCCCAAAGAATTGGTTGTTAACCATTTACCAGCACATCGCTGACAGCAATTAGAACAAGTTCCTTACAAGATAAACGCTATAATGAATGTTTCTCTTAGGAAGGAAAGGACTCGGCTCGGTGTCACAGGGAAGTCAGATGTAGTGGGACGAGAGACCAAAGTCAAGAAAGCAAATATGTTTTAATACACTGCATAGAGTAAGAGAGCGGGCCTGCCTACGATAAGACAGGCCCGGATGCTTATTCTGAGGCTCCTTTTGTATGGTTTTGGTAGGGCAGAGGTCCTTGATTGACAGCTGTCAGCCCTCTAGGCTTGTTCTGATTGGTGAAATGGGGACAGGACTGTGCTGCGTCTGTGCTTCTGACCCTATCTGGTGAGACCCTGGACATTTCCTGAGTCTCTCTTGGACCCCGTGGCTTCATCTGATTAACTCTTGAGTCATTTCTGGCTTTCTGGCTCTATTTGATCAACTCCCTAAGTCATCTTTGGGGGGCCCTTTCTCCTTTTCATCCCGCTCATTTCTGTCTTTCTGCCTAACATTTCCATTACTTTATTTGCTTGTGCACTGGGTCGCGAGGTATAGTCTTTTTTTATGGGTCGAAGTTAAAAATGTTTGAAGGTCACAGAACTCCCAATAATTCTGTGGAGTCTGTACTACTTATAATCCCCATTTTACAGATGAAAAAACTGAAGTTCTGAAAAGGTACAACTCAGGCAGCGCTATCAACGAGCAGAACTGGATTTGAAATTGCCGCAGAGCGGCTTCAGCGCGCTCAAGCACTCAACGCATTTTCCTTACTTCCCTGTTCACTGCCCGCGCGGTTATTTCACTTCGCGGCCAGAAAAAAATGAACGGGGGCTGCCGTGCTCGTTGCATCTTGGGAAATATAGTACACAGGCTCAGGGAACGCCACTGTCCAAGAAGGGATGGGAGGGGTGGAACAAAAGAGCAGAGCCAGTTCTTGTGCATCGCGATGTTTCAGTCCCCCCAGGGCGCGGCTTCAACAGCTTTGGTTGTGCCGGTTGCATGCTGGGAAAGGCAGTTCACAAGGCCCGCTACGTGAACCCAAGATGACTGGGCCCACGTAGTACGTTGGGGTCGGTCCGGGCCTTGCCGGAGCCTCCGCGTTCCACGATGACAGGCTTGCCCCGCTGCGGTAGCCCTTAGGCATGCGCGACAGGCATTTGTCTCAGCTAAGAACGCAAACTGAAGCCCTACTATTTCTCGCCGGTTTGCGCTCTCGCCGGCTCGGGGTGCCCGCGGGCCGGCTTCTTTCGTCCCACCTCTCCCCACTTGGAAAGCTAAGGTTAGCCCTGGGGCGCGGAGGACGTGGGTCCAGGCCGAGAGAGTTGAGGCACGCCTGCTCTGTCCCACCAGTGAGGGAAGGAGGGAAGTTCGCCCTTGGCGCTGCAGCTGCGTAGTCCGGGTGGCTGGCACCTGGGCAGCCCAATGTTTGTCTGTAGAAGGGGACTCTACGGGTGGGCTGGGGGGAGCAGTGGCACAGGGGTCCAGATATCCGCCGGAGCTGCCTTGAGGAGAGTCTGGTGGTCCCAGTGGGAGCATAAGCTTTGAGGTAATGAGGGACCGGGAATGTGGCCACAGGGCTGTTAATGAGGGGGCTGGGTCAGCCGCGTGAAGATAATGGAGGTCTGGTGGCGGTGTTACTAGGTAATCAATGGGGACTAATAGAATTGTTTTAGTCAAGTTCATGGGGACCGGTGGGTGTGTTCATTGACTAATGAGGGGCGGTGGAATGGGCAACTAGAAGATAATGGGAGGCGGGTGAGGGTGTGATCCCTGAGGGATTGATGGAGTTATGATAATAAGGAAGAGCAGTGGGAAGAAGTAATTGAAAGTGTAAAGGTAAAGCTGTGGAGGGAATAATAAAAGCTGGCGGTGGGGGCGGGGGAGGTCATGATTCAGGAACTAATGGGAGCAGTGACCAAAGAGGAGAGAATGAGAGGCTGAAGGGGTGTTGTAGTCAAAGGGCTTGATCATCGAGGAATTAAAGGGAACAGAGTGAGCAACGACGGGGTAATTGTAAGTTGTTGGGGCATGATCGTCGAGTCGTTATTGTAGGGCCAAGGTGAGCAGGGAGGGGAAGAATGGGGAACTGTTGTGTGATCACTGGAGATTAACATTTGAGTGTGGTAATGAAGGAGTTTTAATGGTGTTCTCTATGTGGAATCAGTTGGAGAGCTGTTAATGGGGGCTGATATATCATAGTAACTGGGGGCTTAATGGGGAGCTAATATGCCATGACCCTCCAGGCATTAATGGGGGTTGATAAGGATGTAGTAATAAAGGAATTACTCGGGGCCTATTTCAGGGATTGAAGGGAATAGGGGGGGAAGAGAGAGATTAAGGGGTTAGGAATTGTATTAGGATAATGGGGGTGAAAACAAAGGATTACTGGGGGGCTTATAGGGCTAATGAATCTAGGAGCAGTAAGGACAGCTAGTGAGATGGTCAATGAGATGTTAATGGGAATGACATGGTTGGAGAAAGGTTCACAGTCAGGGTTTAATATGTGGAGCATGGGTGACAGCAAAAGGATGTCAATAGGGTCAGTAACGGGTCATCTGTGAAATAAGTGTTGGGTTTGGGGATCTGTGGGGTGAGCAATGGAGCCTGAGAGTTCAGTAATGGGGTCCTTTATGCTTGTGAGGTCAGTGGGATCAGTAACTCGGCTCCAGTCTTCCCATCTGCTCAGTGAGTTGTCATGTGGGTCAGAGGAGCCCAGTTTGGTTGGTGTGGTTCTCACTGCCCTGGGTAGTGACCCACTCACCCAGTTACTGATATAGGGTGGCATCAGCTTACTGTTGGCAGGTCCCTGGGCAAACAGTGTGTGAGATGGGACGGACGTCAAAGGACAAGCGGGATGTCTACTACCGCCTGGCCAAGGAGAATGGCTGGCGTGCCCGCAGTGCCTTCAAGCTGCTACAACTCGATGAGGAATTCCAACTCTTCCAAGGTCCCCACCTGGCGGGCGAGTCGCTGAGGGATGGGGCAGGCAGAGGGAACAGACAAGTAGGCTAGGACTGCAGAGCACCTAGTGGTACATGGGCTGATTTGGAGGGTCTCTGGGGCAGGGGCCAGGCAGGAAGATGGGCAGATACTCTGAAGGAGTGGGCACTTGGGCAGCAGATCAATGTGGGTGCTCCCTAGGGGAGAGGGGTGAACTTTGTGGGGTTCCTGGGTTGGAGAGGTGGTGCAACTTAACCACTACACCTTCCTGTGTGTGCTCAGGTGTGACACGGGCAGTTGACCTATGTGCAGCTCCGGGCAGTTGGAGCCAGGTGCTGAGCCAGAAGATTGGGTGAGTGTGAAATCCCAAGAGGCAGGAGGCAGGCCAGGTGGGGGTGGGCCAGGAGTGAACACTGTGGCTGTTTTCCACAGGGGCCAGGGATCTGGCCATGTTGTGGCTGTGGACCTTCAAGCTATGGCTCCACTACCAGGTGTCTTACAGATCCAGGGGGACATCACCCAGGTAAGAGCATGGCTGAGGGTGTTGGGGTGTATCCTAGGCAAACCGCCCACCACCTGGGGACTATGAAAAGAAGGGAGAGAAAGACAAAGAAACAGACAGAGACAGACAGACCAAGATAGCAGGAGTAATTGAGAGAACCCAAGAGAGTATAACAGCAGAGAAACAGAACCAGCAGGTGGTCATCACAGAGAGCAAAAAGGGTTAGGATAACTCCCCAGAGATGGAGCCCTGTCTTAGAAGACAAAGCCTGAGAATTTGGCTGACATAGAGCTGTGGGCCTGGGCCATGGACAGGTGGGGTTAGAGGTCTGTGGAGGAGCCCCTGGTGGGGGGCCACTCATCCTCTTTCTCTTCCATAGCTCTCCACTGCCAAGGAGATCATCCAGCACTTTGAGGGCTGCCCTGCGGACCTAGTGCTGTGCGATGGGGCTCCCGATGGTAAACAGCAGGGTTTGGGAGGCAGACAGGGGCCCTGTGTGTGTCCTTCTTATATGGCCCACCTCTGTTTGTTTCTTTCACCACTTCAACTACTCACTGCCTTTCTCCTCTGCTGTCAGCTCTTCCCCATCTGGCAGCTTCTCCCTACCTCTTCATCCTGTTCTCTGCCTCTGTCTCCTCCCTCCCTGTACTCTGCATTTTCAGTTTTATCTTGTCCACCCTTCCCTGTTCTCATTTCTCATCTCTCATCTGCAACTGTCCCATTCCATCTTACTGTTCATTTTTTTTTTTTTTTGGTCAGCCACCCATCCATTCAACACACATTTACTGAGCACCTGTGTGTGTCAGACACCGTTCAACAAGTTAAGAAAACTGTGAATAAAATTCCACTAATCTCTTTTATCTCATACAGTTGGTGTTCTGGTGGGAGCAGATGGAAAAGAAATGGTTGATTTATGTAGCATGTCAAAAGGGGATAGGTATCATGGGGAAATCAATGAAAGTGAGAGGGAGGTGGTGAATACCTGTTGGAATTTTAAGTAAAGTGGTGGGGCAGGCCCCACTGACTTTAGCAGAAAGACTGAAAAGAGGTGAGGGAATGGGCTGGGGGCATGTCTGGAGTAAGAACAGTCCAGGCAAAAGGACCAGCCCAAGTGAAGGTCCTGAGGTGCAAGGGTGCTTGGCATGTGTGAGGAAAAGCAAAGAGATCAGTGGTTGAATCAGATTGAGTGAGGGGGGGAGTGGTAGGTGATGAGCTCAGGGAGGTGACCAGGGACAGATCCTGTGTGGCTCCCTGTGGGCCACAGTGAGGACTCTGGCTTTTTCACTGAGATGAGAGCTCGTAAAAGACCATGACAGGGTTGTGAACAAGGAGGGCTGTGCCTGAGTTGGGTTATAACAGGATCCGTGTGGATGTTGTGAGTCACCACTGCCAAGGAGATCATCCAGCACTTTGAGGGCTTCCCTGCAGACCTAGTGGTGTGCGATGGGGCTCCCGATGGTAAACAGCAGGGTTTGGGAGGCCAGACAGGGGCCCCATGTGTCAGGGCAGATGCAGAGGCCCAGGGAGAAGGAGGCCCCTGTAGTGGTTTAGGTGAGTGATGACAGTGGTGGCAGGGGTGGAGATGAGAAGAGTGTCGAATCAGGAGATCTTTCAAAAGTAAAGCCAAGAGGACCTGCTGATGGCTTGAATGTGAATGTGAGGAGAATGGAGGATGTCAGGCACTAAGGTTGTTGCCTTGAACAACTGGAAGGATCGGAGGAGATGGCGAGGATGGAGGGAGGAGCAGGTTTGGGCAGGAAACTTGGGAGTTTGGTTTTGGACATGCTGAGTCTGAGGTCAAATCTGATATATGAGTCTGGAGTTCAGAGGGGCAGTCTGGGTTGCAGGTGAAATGATGATAACGATACCTGTGTATGAAGTTGTTTTGAGAATTAAAATTATTTCTAAGCATTGAATGCTCCGAATTTGTGTTCAGTTGGCAGATGCTAATTTGCATGCAGAACATGAACTGTTTTTAGTTCTCTAACCTTTCTGGGACAGTAAAGTAGCTAGAATTGGATGGCCCCCTAACGCTGTTCCTCTTGCTGCAGTAACTGGCCTCCATGATGTTGATGAGTATATGCAGGCCCAGCTCCTCCTAGCCGTGAGTAACCCTGACTGCCCCTGCTTCAGTTTGGCCCCTCCTGCCTGTCTCCACCTCAGCCTTAGCTATCTGTCCTGCCCACAGGCTCTGAACATTGCTACACATGTCTTAAAACCAGGGGGCTGCTTTGTAGCCAAGGTGAGCCCTAGGGAACCGGGAGAGGAGAGAGAGGGGTGTCCAAGGACCACCCTCATACCCCTACCTCTGCCTCTCCATCCTGTAGATCTTCCGAGGCCGGGATGTGACGCTTATCTACAGCCAGTTGCGAGTCTTCTTCTCCAGTGTGCTCTGTGCCAAACCCAGGAGCAGCCGGAACTCCAGCATTGGTCAGTGGGATGGAGGGGCCAGGCAGACGGGTGGCTACAAATCTCAGGGCCACATCCTGCACAGGCGGGAGGTAGCAGTCCCCCTTCACTCTACCTTCCACCCACAGAGGCCTTCGCTGTCTGTCAGGGTTATGACCCCCCTGAGGGCTTCCTGCCAGACCTGACCAAACCCCTGCTGGATCATTCTTACGGTGAGAGCCAGAGCCCTGGGACCCATTCCTGGGGATACTCTGCCCCCTTACGGAATTTATGTCTCAGGAGGGCTTTGGTGGGAATTCTGTCCCAAGAGGATCCTCAGCCCAACTCTCTGTGATGGAAATTCTACCTGTGTATGGATATTTTTGCAAAAGGATATTTAGCTCAGTTCCGCAGTGGTAACTCTTGGACCTGGTGAAAATGCTCGGCCAGGAGGATCCTGAGTCTTGCCCCAGTTGGGACTCCACCCATCTAAGGAGAAACTAGCCTAGGAAGACTGTCACACCCCCAGGTGGAAACCCCACCCCTGTGTGGGAATTTTGCTCTGTGAGGGTCTTTAGCCTGGCTCCTAGTGGAAAAAGGTTCAGAGTCTGCTCTTGTGGTGAGCACATGAGTGAGACAGGTCTGGACAATGCAGGACAGAATGGCAGGTGAGTATAAGTGCAGTGAGAAGTTGGGGCAGGGGGTTAGGGGAGAAAGGGACCTTTTAGAATGAGTGATCATAGAGGGCCTTCCCGAAGAGATGATCTGAGCACATGAAGGATTTCCAGTGGAGGAATATGACAGTAGCTGGTGGATACATGGGAAGGCCTCAATACCCAGGCATCCCAGCCTTGTCCTGTCTCATTTCTCCCTGCTTGTCAGATCCAGATTTCAACCAATTAGATGGGCCCACCCGCATCATTGTGCCATTTGTGACCTGTGGGGACCTGAGCTCCTATGATTCGGATCGTAGTTACCCACTGGACGTGAGTGCCCAACCAACAGTAGGCAGATGGGGGGTGCTGTCCTAGGTGCCCAGGACCTCACCATCCCCTCCATGTGTCCCTGCAGCTAGAGGACGGTTCAGAGTACAAGTATACTCCACCCACACAGCCCCCGATCTCGCCACCATATCAGGAGGCCTGCACATTGAAGAAGAAAGGGCGATTGGCCAAGGAGATCCGCTCCCAGGACTGCCCCATGAGCACAGTGGACACATTGCCCCAGCCCCTGGCTGCCCCACAATGCCATACCCTGCTGGCCTCTGAGGTCTGGAAACATGGCCCAGGGCCCTCAGTGCCCTTTCCCTGAACTCACAGTGACCCCTCCCAGTGTGCCTCTTTCTGTCCCCATATCACATGATTTTGGGGGGGCAAAATTCTCTTCCCTGTCTCCCAATAGCTGTAAAAACCAATAGGTAAAATCCTATATAATGAATGAAAAAGCTTAGCTAAGGATCTGAGTCCCTTTTCTTTTTTTTGAGTAGGTGGAAGGCAGTGAAATGAACTGTTCACCTTAACACATTAGGTAAATTTGCCTTTTTGTCTAAGAGTTTGAGTAAATGGTACCTGTACAAAAAAGCTCAATAAAATTTCACCTTTGCAACTTTTACATCAACTGATTTCATTCAGCAAACCTTTACCTACATCACCATCTGATGTATGCCAGAAACTGCTTTAAGTGTTTTATACATTATGTATTGAGGAATTTGGTAAACATTTATTAATCATGTACTATGTGCCAAGCATTGTTCTAGGTTTGGAGATGAGTGGGGAACAAACCAGGCAAGTATCCCAGCCCAGCCCTTATGGAGCTTCTACATTGGGAAAGCAGTAATAAACAACATAGTCTATGAGTACAGGAGTTTACACACACACACAGACACATTTATAGCTTACATTTCACTATATAGTTTGCAGTGTAATATGTGTATATACACATAACTATCATATATATAATAGGTAAAAGTAATATGGAAAAGGAGAGTTTTCAAAAAGCAGAGTAAAGAGAATCAGGAATTCTAGGGGCAGCAGTTTAAAGTTTCTAAAAAGGTTGTCATGAAAGGCCTCACTGAGGTAATGTTTGAGCAGAGACCTGAAAGAGATGAGGGAGGGAATCCATGTGTTAATCTGGGGAAGGAGCATTCTAGAGAGAAGAAATACAGCAAATGCAAAGGCCTTGAGGCAGAACTGTACCTGGTGTGGGAAGGCACAGTGAGGGTCCAGTCTGCCTATAGCAGAGTGGGCTGAACCTGTCAGCCCTGGAGGGCTTCCCATCCTTTGGGTGTCACGTTAGAGGACATCCCTTCTTGACAGTGGCTTAGCAGGTCATTCAGACCAACTCTTCTGTTAAAAAGAAGTAAAAAAAAATACCTTTACAAAATGAAATGGAGAATCACAGTGGGAAATTATTTACAGTCCCTATATATATTATCTTTGATATCAAAAAGCTCCTACAAATCAGTAAGGAAAAGAAGATATGAGAATGGCCAGTAAGCTCATGAAAAGCTGCTCATGAGGAAATTGTAAGCTAAAACTAAAAAGATTGATAATACTAAGTGTCTGGAGGGATATGCAATAGTTAGAGCCCCCACACTGACAGCAGCATAACGTGGTGTGGCCATTGTGGAAAATTGTTAGGCATTATCTACTAAAGCTGCTGTATGCCAATTCCACTCCTAAGAAATGAGTACTAGAATGTTCCTAGCCCACACTATTTGTAGTAGCCCCAGACTAGATAGAGCCCAAACATCCATGAACTATAGAATGGGTCATTAAATCATTGTATATTCACAGAGGAGAATTACAGCAATGAGAATGAACATCTTACAATTATACCAAATAACACCCATCGCTCAGTAGACCAAATATACATGTGTTTTATGCACTTTTCTGTATGTTATGGTTCACAATAAAAGTAGTAGAGGAAAACTTCATAAAAATGTTAGCTGAGTGAACAATGATTACAGAAGAATGTAGGGAAATATATTTTTGTTTAAAACTTTCTTTTTCTTTGACCTTTAGTTAGCAAGCAGTCTGATACAACATGGAAGCTGTTTGCTATCAGGAAAACCAGAATTTGCATTGATGAACTTGTTTTCAATTATCTCAGCAATGGGTCCTGAACATACAAGCCCTGAATGGGAACCAGCAACCACCACCACGAACAGAGCAAGGAAAATAACTTCACAGAATGTCTGTCGGCACTGCATTCTTGAATGAAGTCTTGCCTCTCTAAATCTTCCCAGGGCTCTCCTGATCATGTCCAGAATTTACCCTGAAAGCAGGGTTCTTAACCTAGATAGAAGTCAGGGGTATCCAGGAACTTGATGGAGGAAAATATTACATCTTTATTTTTACTAATATAGTTGAAATTTAGCTTTACTCTCAAATATGAATGCTGGCAACAAATTGCAATAGTAAAAGCAGTGCCTATGACTTTTCCTCCAGTACAAATCCAGTCACTTTTTATGTTACATTCCAGTTTTCACAGGCATTTTGAAATATTGTTCACATTTGTCACTATGAATCATAGATCTTATAATTTGATGTACTAATAAAGTCCATATATTACTGCATTCCAATATTTCACTTTAATACATGTGGCAATATTTTTTCTAGTTTTATTGAGAAACAGTAGACATGTTATATAAGTTTAGTGATTCGATATATGTGCATACTGCAAAATGATTACCACAATAAGTTTAGTTAACATCTATCACCTCACAGTTAATTTTTTTTCTTGTGATGAGAACTTTTAAGATCTACTCTCAGCAACTTTAAAATATATAATATAGTATTGATAAGTGTTGTTAATATGCTGTACATTATATCTCCAGAACTTATTTATAAGTGGAAGTTTGTGCCTTTTGATCTTCTTCACCTATTTCCCCCACCCCCACTCCCCATTTCTGGCAAGCATCAATGTATTCTCTTTCTGTGAGCTCAGATTTTTTATATTCCACATACAAGTGAGATCATACAGTATTTGTCTTTCTCTAACATCTCACTTAGCATAAATCCATCAAGGTCCATCCATATTGTTGCAAATGGCAGGATTTCCTTTTTTTTGCTGAATGATATTCCCTTGTGTGTATATACTGCATTTTCTTTATCTACATTCATGTGTTGACAAGACACCTAGGTTGTTGTCGTATCTCGGCTACTGTGAATAATGCTGCAGTGAACATGGGGTTGCAGCTATCTCTGATACAGTGACTTCATTTCCTTTGGTTAAATATCCAGAAGTGGGATTGCTGGCTCATACGGTAGTTCTATTTAATTTGTTGAGGAACTTCCACACCATTTACTTGGTTTTCATAGTAATCCTATGTATTTGAGTGTGTGTATGCCCACTCGTGTTTTTTTTTTAAATTAAGGTATCATTGATATACACTCTTAAGAAGGTTTCACATGAAGAACATCATGGTTACGACATTCACCCATATCATCAAGTCCTTCTCATACACCACTGCAGTCACTGCCCATCCCCACTCTTGCTTTTTAAAATACTCTGTGAAGGAGTCCATAGATTGAACCAGATGCCAAAGGGTTCCCTGGGACACATTTTTTATGTTAAAAACTCCTAAAGAAATGTCAGAAAATCTGCCTTAACTACAGTCCTGAACAATTCAGCAAACAGAAACTGACAAACTCACCCGCTACAAAGGCAGAATCAGTTTTTACAGCTTAATCCAGTATCTTTAGAAAATCAGGTTCTCTGTCCATACCCTCAGTCCAGTGACCTGAGGACTACCTGTCTGTGACCCCTATACCTGACTATGTGACCCTAGGAGTGTCCACAACCAGTCTCTGACCCCGAGGGAAGGGACACCACAATATGTTAACCGAGGAGTCTTCACACCCCAGTCTGACCCCAGAAATATGTGACAAGTGTCCACACAAAAGGCTGTGTGACCATGGGAGTATCCACACGCATTATCATGTGGATTCAGAATCCACACTAGAGTCTGTGAGGCCCCAGCAATGTGCACACCATTCTGTCACCTCCAGGAGTAGCCACATCTGAATCTCCAGGGGCATAAGCACACTAGCCTTTGGGACCTGGCAAGTGCTCAGGCTGTGTATCCCTACTTGTGACCACCCCCAACTGTGTGACATCAGAAGTATATACCTGTAAGCCTCTGTAATGGGAGCAATGTCTAATCCTCAGTCTGTGATCCAGTGCTATGTTCTAGGAGGGACCATCTGGCCTAGGCCCAGTTTCTGACCCTGGGAGCACCCACTCTCTACCCACCTGGCCTGAGCTGTCCTAGTCCTGTGACTCTGGGAGTGCCCACACCCCTCTGTGTGACCCCAGAATTTTCCACACCAAAGTCAGTTTGTCCACAGAGGTACATATACCCCAGGCCATGTGTCCCCAGTGGAGTATTTACCTTAGTCCAAGTCATTCCTGGAGTGTTTCCATCCCACTCTGCAATGACAGCAGTGTTTATTCTCCAATGTTTGTGATTCCCAGATTTCTATAACCCCATCTGTGTTGCCCCAGAACTGTACACGCCCACCAGTTTGCAGATTTGTCAATTCCATAGACTGAGAACAATGCATGTCCATTCCCCAATGTGTGACCCCAAGGGTTACCACACCTCAGTTGTTGCCACCCCAGGGCTGTCTACAATGCAATCCATGTCACCATAGAAGCATATACACTCCAGCCTGGATGACACCTGGAGTATTCATAGTCTGTGTGTCCATAACCCAAAGCTTGTGCCCACAGAGCTGTGAAGACTCCAGGTGGGTGTGCACTGTATGTCAGTCCACAGTAGTGCCTACATCCCAGTCAGGGTGACCTCACTAATGGCCATGTGTCAACCTTTGCCACCACAGGAGTGTCCACCCTCTCCGGGTGACCACAGGAGCTCCAGACCCCAAGGTATTTCCCCAGAGCTCACCCCTAATCTGTATTCCTGAAGAACTGTTCACACCCCAGTTGTGTCACCATGGGCTTTCCCCCTCCCAGTCAGTGTCCCCGCAGTGATCGTTCTTCAGACCATGAAATGCCAGAAGTATACACACCCCAGTCTGTGTTACCGCAGGATGCCCACAGCCAGCCCGTTTCTCCTGAAGTGTCCGCACAATAGTCTGTGTAATCCCCAGGATGATCAACTTTCTGTTGTGACCACAAGAATGGCCAGCACCCTGTCTGTGTGTCCCCAGTGTGGTATACCCTTGAGTATGTGACTCCCAGAGTTTCTATACCCCAGGCTGTGTGATCAAAGAAGTTTCCATGCCCCAGGCTCTGTGACCACGGGGGAGTCTCTCCCCAGTCTGCACCTCCAGGAATCTGCAGTTCTGTGGGATCAAGAAGTGCCCATGCTTCAGTCTCTGTGGCCCCAGGTTCATTCACTACAAATGGTCTGTGTGACATCCACATCACAAACCTGTGAACAAAGGGGCTCCACACTCCAGTGTATGTGACAACAAATGTGATTTCCTTGTCTGCATGATCTCAGATGGGGCCCATGGTTCTTCCCTCAGCTATGTCCACATCCCAATGTTTGACTACAGAAACATGCACAGTGCAGCCCATGTCTACCCCAAGTGCCTACCCAACAGTCAATGTGAGTCCAGAATGGCAATGGCTTAGTTGATGTGACCCTAGGTGTGTCCACATCATAGTCTCAGAGGTACCACGAGTGTGTGTACCTTAGGCTGTGATCACAGCACTATCCACACTCAAGTCTGGGTGACCCCACAGGTGTCCACAGCTCAGCCAGAGATGTTCCAGGAGTGGTTTTGCTCCATCTAGCCACCTCAGGAGTGTCCCCTCCGTGTCTACATGCCCCCAGGAGTGTCCACATCTAAGTTTTTGTGACAGAAGCAATGTCCAATCCCCAATGTATGTGATATCAGTGTCATCCAAACCCCACAGTCTCTGTCATACAAACCCCACAGTCTCTGGCACAGTGTGTCTACACCCCAGTCTCCATGGCCTCCTGTCAGTGTGACCACAGAAGTATGAAATGCCTGTATCTGTGACTACTGGCAGGTCCACAATGCAGGCTGAGTGACCCAGGGGAGGATACCCCCAGTCTGGGTGACCAGAGAAGTCTCCACACCCCAGTGTCTGTGACCACAGGGGTGCTGATCGCCTCATTCAGTGTGAACAAAGGAGTGCCCACACCAAATTCTGTGTGGCCACAGGCATGTCCAGCTCTGTCTCCGTGTCCTGAGAGACATCGCTGCTCCAGTTTCTGTGACCCCAGCAGAGTCCACACCACAAGCAGTATCACCACAGGGGTGTCCACAGCAGAGCCTATGATAATCCACAAAAGCCACAGGCATTTGACTGCAATAGAATCTACACCCCAGTTTATATGTCCTTAGCCATGTCCTTATCCCTGTCTGTGACCCCAGGAATGTCTGGACCCCAGAGTTTGTGACTCTGAGGGTGTTCAAAGTGTGAAACCAGGAGGTGCCAGATCATAGTCTGTGTGACCCCAGAAGTGTCCACACCCCAAACTAGGTGATCCAAGAGGGACCCAAACTCCAGTCTGTGAGACCTCAGTGTTGTCCAGACACCAAAAGTGGCCACACACCAATCCATAGGACTCAATATATCCTAGTCTGTGATACTTCAGGAGTGGCGACACCCCATTCTCTCGTGTCTTCAGCCATGTCCATATCCCAGTCTGTGTGACCCCAGAAGTGTTCACACTTAGTCTCTGTGACTGCACTAGGTCCACAGCCCAATCAGCGTGACCCCAAGATTGCTTACATCCAAATCTAGTGACTTTATGAGAGTCTGTACCCTCATCTGTTTGATCCCAGGAAGCTTCACATCCCAGATATTCAAAGTCCACTGAATCACATTAGAGATAAAGCTAAGCTGTGGAGGGCAGGGGCCCAAGGATCCAGCACCATAACCACTTGGCAGGCAGACTTCCCCAGGGGGCTGTGCATTCTCTAGAACAAATGGTAAGGTTCCAGCTCTCCCCATGTTGCTCAGAAACACAGCACTTTCTGGGAAGAAGCTATGATGACTGAATGAAGATGGCCTTACTGGGACCTCAGGCAGGCCTGCCTTGCCCCAGATTTTCCCCTTTAGCAGATGAGTATAATGATTCTTGCCGTCCTGATCTCTCCAGCATCTCTACTCACCTATTCTCTCCAACCACGCCAGCCTGCTTGATGTTCCTCAAGTACACTAAGCCACTAAGCATTATGCCACCTCAGGGCCTTTGCATCTGCTGTTAGCCCTCTGCTTAGACACCATTCCCAAGGTATGTTCACAGCTACATCCCTGCTCCCTTCATTTTCTTCTTTTCTCTGCTTACACATCATCTCCTCAAGAAGCCTTCCCTGACTCTCCAAAAGAGCATCGCTGCATCCTGTTTTGTTTTTCTTCATAGCACTTAACCCTTCCTAATAGTATATTATACATCTACTTGTTAAATCAGTCAGGGATCATGCATCAGGGAACACAGGGCACATGCAGGTAGACTTTTGAAGATACTCTAATGGAGGGACGATTGACAGAGGTGCAGGGAGGGTTCAGTAAACCAATAAGGTTGCTGAACTACCCAGGGACTGGCATTGGAGGGGCA